CCATCTGAGTGGGATGGTGTAAACTGGTGTCCTTCATGGCCCTTCCAACTCTACTATTCTATGGTTCTATGATTCTAAGACAGCCTTAATGACCCCCTTTCCCAGTCATCTTATCACCATTGTCACTACTTGCCATTGTACTTAGGGTTGGGATGAGCCCTACTGAAATCTATCCTTCCAATCATTTACAGGTTTTCTCTTGCACTTGTCCCAGTCTTTCAAAGCAAGCTGAGCTGAGAGAAAGCCTGTAAACTTGTGAACCCCGATTGCACAACCTTCTTCCATGCAGCTGCAGCAGCCCAAAAGGCACTGCTTGTGGCTGCTTCATGAGGAGCTCGCTCTTCTGGTAAGCCCTTTGCAACAAGCTTTTTCCAACAGTGTGAATTGCAGCTCCTCAAACAGCAGTTGTTCCCAGGGAGCAGTGCTGCTTGTTCAGTGCAAGGGTCTCAGTTCCTGTGAACACTGTCAACATTGGGTATGCTTACCCGAAACTTAAACTCTGGACTGCTTCAATGCAGATGAGACCAGGAGCTGAACCCAGAGAACTCTGACAAATTTCCACCCTTGGATGGGTCCCTCATGCATCCCTAATTATGCCTTAATCTCTTTTTCATTTTTGGTGCCCCTTATTCACTCATCATGCAAGAAACGGACTGCTCCTCATTCCTATTACCTCCATTGACTGGGCCAGAAAAGAGGGTGGTGAACGAGAAGGTTGTGGACATGAGGTGGAGGTGCAAGTTGACATTTGTCCACAGGACTCTGCTAGTATATAGACCAGCAAGAGCATGTTCTACTAGGCTCAAACCTGCTGGCAGCCCTGAGTCAGGAGGTGAGATATCGGCAGAAAAAAGTGACTGCATCCTCTCCATGAATCAGCAGGGTGTTTTTGGTTCACACATGGCATGCGACATTTTGGGCACAAAGCATCAGGTTCTTACATGAACTGGGGATGGAACTATGTAGCCATATCTTGTCTCTCATTCCTAGGTTTATGAAACGACATAACAAACTAGTAAGGCCATTTAATACCACATTGTAAGGGAGCATTCACTTGTAAAACAGACAATTTAAATTTGCATAAAATCCAGCAATTTCTCTCTCTGCTCCTGCTGACTGTTCAGCCAACAAGGACACCAAGCTGAAATGCAATCCCTAAAGCAGTAAACAGAGAGATAAGAGCTTTAAAGCAGGAGAAAAGAAAAAGGAAAAAGAAAGAAATGCTTGTACAACATTAAATAATTCTTAACAAATGTGAAGCATGTCTTAACCTCTTATTTTGTACTAGATTGTAAAGTAAAGTGGATTAAAGCATGGATTTAGACATGTTTTGAATCTAAATGTTAAAATACTTGACACCACAGGAAAGTGGATTGGAAAATTTTGTTCTGCTGTCAACTTGTGAGGTTCTGCTTTTTGTCAGGAGAGGCTTTTAAAGTCCAGGAAATGGTCTGTGCCTGGCAAGCCCCACTGGAGGCCAACAGAAGGACTGACCTTGCTGGAGGCAGCAGGGGGATAACGCAATGTGACTGTGCCCATTACAAAAACATTTTTTGCCAATCATGCTTGGAAAGAAGTCAGACCCACAATGCGGGGACCTCTGAAAAATGCATGTCAGATTCCCTTTTCTAACAGGAAGAACTTCCAGCTCACTTATGCAAATATTAAGACCTGTATTTTCTAGGTGCTCCATGCTCTCACAAATTAGGCATGATCCAAGTGATCCAAGAGGCTCTCCAGTGGCTTTGTTGGATTGTGGAATGTCCCCTCTCATGCTCTGCACCTGTCACCTGCTTACTTTTAGCTCCTGAATGGGTTTTAGAGTTCTCATTGAATGGTTGGTGGGAGATACCTGAGCTCAAAGAGGGAACTAGGGATTGTGAAAATTCTGTACCAAGTTGATCCAGTTCTTGGATTCTGGGTTTTATTTTTAATACTGGCACATTATCGAGCCTGTGCTGTGGCAGTGAGGGTGGCAAAGACAGAATTCTTCTCCATTTCTATTGAATCCTCACAGTGCCGTCCAGCTGAGCTTTTCTAGGTGGTATGGGGCCTGTTACATTCTGGGCCAAAAAATTACTTTATTGCACCATTGGTAGCTCTCTGTGATGACTTTGCCCAGAACTTTAGGGATAAAATCACTCAGATTTGATGTAGTACCTGAACAGGAGATATCCAGAGCACAGTCTAGTCCATCTTTGTTGGATGAGTTTCAATTGTTGCAGCCTGAGGATGTGGACAAGGTGCTTGGACTTGTTCAGCCTGCCACCTGCTTACTCGACCCTTACCACTTGTTTACTCATCAAAGCCAAGGATGGGATATATGCCTGGGTCCAGGAGGTAGTTAATGCCTCTCTGAATGAGGGTCAGGTTCATGCCCCCTTGAAGGAGGTGGTAAACAGGCCCATCCTGAAGAAGACTGCCAATTATGGACAGGTGTCTAACATCCCGGTCTTGGGCAAGGTTCTCAAGCAGGGGGTAGCCAGGCAACTCCAAGCTCACTTGGAGGAATCTGACCATCTGGATCCATTTCAGTCTGGCTTCAGGCCTGCTTATGGGATGAAAACTGCCTTGGTCAACCAGTATGATGACCTGTGCAGGGAGAAGGACAGGGGGAGTGCATTCCTATTGGCTATCCTGGACATCTCAGTGGCTTTCGATACCATTGACCATGGTATCCATCTGGATAGCCTGGCCACGTTAGGAGTGGCAGGCTGTGCTTGGCAGTGGTTCTGCTTCTACTTGGCTGGCCAACTCCAGAAGGTGGTGCTGGGGGATTGTGGCTCTGCACTATGGCAACTTTGCCATGGAGTTCTGCAGGGTTTCATTTTATCCTCCATGCTTTGCAACATCTACATGAACTCACTGGGAGAGGTCATCCAGAGGTTTGGGCTGCAGAGTCATCAGTACACTGATGGCACCCAGCTCTACCTCTCTTTTGCATCTAATCCAGGTGAGGCAATGGATGTCCTGAACCAGTGCCTGGCCAGGGTGATGGACAGGATGAGGGCCAATAAATTGAAGCTTAATCCAGACAAGATGGAGGTCCTGCTGTTAGGCAGTTTAGCCTCCCAGGTAAGTCTTTTCAACCCAGTTCTGGACTGGGTTGTGTTCTCCCTAAAGGACAGGATGTGCAGTTTGGGAGTGCTCCTCGATCCAGAGCCTTCCCTAGAATCCCAGGTGATGGCTGTGGTGAGGAGAGCTTTCCTCCAGCTTCAGCTGATTTATCAACTGCACCTCTGCCTGGATGAGCAGTGCCTGGCAATGGTGACCCATGCTCTGGTAACTTCCCAATTGGACTTTTGTACTGCGGTCTATGTGGGGCTGCCCTTGAAGACAGTCTGGATGCTTCAATTGGGTCAGAATAGAACTGCCAGGTTGTTAACAGGGATCAGCAGGTATGAACATATAACGCCGTTTCTTTGCCACCTACACTGGCTACCAGTTTAAGTATGGGCCTAATTTAAGGGGCTGGTGAGGACCTGTAAAGCCCTAAACAGATTAGGACCTGATTACCTGAAGGATCGTTTCCTTCCATATCTGCTTGCCCACCCCATAAGATCTGGGGCAGAGGCCCTTCTCTGGGAACCCCCTTGAAGGAGATTACTCGAAAAAGGGCCTTCTCTGCAGTGGTGCCCTGATTGTGGAATATGTTCTCCAGAGCAGTTTACCTGGCACCGTCACTTTATTCTTTTCAGCTCCAGGCAAAAACCTTTTTTATTTTTTCCAATATTTTAAGGGTTGATTGTTATTTTAATATGGGTTTTATTATTAGAATTTGATTAGGATGCTATGTTTTGTTTTATTTTTTGTCTTACTGTTAAACCATACCAAGGCTATGGTAAGGGACGGTCTAAAAAGTTTTAAATAAATGCATAAATAAACTTTGTAGATATGGATTTTTTAAAGGGGGAATGGGTCTTAAGGCTTGCATTTGATTGGGTTTACATTTTCTTTCTTACTGACAATCTGTGCACAATCACAAGCATACCTGCCAACAAGGTAGCCTACAGAGACATATTTTCCTTGTAAATATCCTTGACAGTTTCATCCTCACTAACTCAGCACTTCATTTAGCCTACCAGGGCTATATTCCATACTTGTAAAAGAACTTGTCAATGCCATCCACCACTGCAAGTGAAGGGGGGGAACTGACAACTTCTTTAGCAAGTATGAATTTGGCTATGCTGGGATAGGCTTTCTTTCTGGCTCTGCCTTAACTTTGGCTCTTTGTACCTGCAATATCTCGAGCAACTGCCTATGCCATAGATCCAGACAATGGCATTTAATGGTGTCGTTTTACAGTGGTTGGTTGGTTGTTTTGTAAGTATCAGACTGCCAGAGATATTCATGTAAAGCCTGGACAGCTACCTGTCAGGGTTTCTGAAGCTGTATCCTGAACTGCCAACCTCTCTTCCCTATCTAGGGTTTCTAGATGTCTTGCTATTATGATCGTTTTCATTGTCTTTACTGCAATGGATGTAAGGCTAACTGGTCTCTAATTTCCATGTCTCCTCTACTAATGTCTAGTGCCCTAAGGAGCCCCTTGAATTCTGGGGGTGGGTGGGGGATTGACTCTAATCTGTGCACCTAAATCCTTGGCCTCATCTGATCCCCCATGCAGGTCTCCCCCATCCTAATTTTGGGAGAACTCAGAGGCAAAATAATCATTTAGCATCTGTTTCCATTCCCCCGCATCAGTCACCAAATCCCCTTCTCCCTTGTTAAGCAGTCCCACTGCCTCTCTCCCCTCCCTCTTGCTATTTACATGTTGATAGAAGCCCTTTTTGTTGCTCCTGATATTCTTTGCATGCCTCCGCTCATAATCAGCTTTAGCCTTGCGGAGAATCCTTCTGCAATGGGCCTCCTCCTCCCGGTATACCCTTTTGTGTACTTGCTCCAGTGCCCATTTCCTACGGGGGTTCCTCTTATGTCCAATCTCTCTTACCACCTCCTTTTAAATCCACAGTGGCACTCTCCTTCGTCTCCCCACCTTACTAACTAGAGGTATTATCAAAGCTTGTACCTCCAAGACTTCCCTTTTGAGTGCCATCCACCCCTCCTGAACCCCCTTGCCTTCCAGTACCCTCTCAGGAGAGTTTCCCCAGTCTGACCTTCCTGAAGTCTCAGCTTCTAGTACTATACCGGCTGGTCACTTCCATGCCCCTGATAGGAAGGCAGGCAGGTGGGCAGGCAGGCCTGAGAGCTCATTTACAACACCAGAGGAGGACAGACTGATGACACCCATATTTCCTGGTCTAGGGGGTCTAACACTACAGTGTTTACTACTCTAAGAGGAAAGTTTTATTTATTTATGTGTTCATTGGTTTCAGCTTTAACAGTATGCCTATGTTCTACCCTTAACCAAGTAGGGGAATTAACTGTTTCTGTGTGATCATTGACAATAATAATATTGTTCTCACATGTATGTTTGTGACGAAGAGATAGCAATTGTCTCTGGTGTACCTCCAATCTTAACACCGCAGCGGAATCATTGTTCAGCGGTTCTCCTTTTTAGTGCTGTAAATTAACAGCATGGAGGATGCTTGCCAGGTGAATGGATGAGAAAAAAGACCAGGCATGATGTCTGGTAAGGGTAAAGCATACATGCCATATACATGTTGGCCTGTGAAGTATGTATTGAGAGCCAGTGTGGTGTAGTGGTTAAGAGCATGGGACTGGGACTCAGACGACCTGGGTTCTAGTCCCCGCTCAGCCATGGAGCCAACTGGGTGACTTTGGGCCAGTCACACTCTCTCAGCCCAACCTACCTCACAGGGTTGTTGTGGGGATAAGAGGAGGAGAATGATGTAAGCTGCCTTGAGCCCTTTGTAGGGAAAAGGCAGGATATAAATCGATAGATAGATAGATAGACAGACAGACAGACAGACAGATAGATACCAAAAAGTATACTCACTTCTGTTGAGGAGCTTGGACAGGCATATGAATGGAGTGTTAGGCTGGATGGACCCTTGGTCTGATCCAGCAGTGCTTTTCTGATATTCGACTGGCTCTTGCATTTGCGTATTTTTGACTGAAAAGAAGAGTCATCACTGCTATCTATAACTGTAAATCAATATATTGTTTGGCCCTCAGCAGGGGATTTTATCTTTCACTTTGGAACTCCCTGCCTCTGCAACTCCACTCGGTCATCTCTCACTCCCTGCCTTATTTTTCCAGCAAGCATGTAGCCTGTCTGGTTCCTTCATGATTATTTATTTGCTGTTCTGTTTCTACTGAGTTCAGCTCTTCTTTGTCCTCCTCTTCAAGTATTTTTGGCCACCTAGAGCCCTTTTAGAATTGTAAAGGTAATGTGTGCTTGTTATAAAAAGTGTAAATAAATAAATAATGATTACCAACCTTTCAATCTCTCCAGGGAGTGTCACCCTCCTTCAGTTTTCTCTGACAGTGACACTGGGACCAACTTCTTTCAGGGTCAAATACATAAGAATTATTAGATGCTTGTAAGCAGTGCCCTGGGAATAGAACTTGATGCAGAGGATAGAAATTATGAGAAAATACTTTACCCTTCACACACCTACACAGTAATGATTTGATGCAATATAATGGGGAAAATGCAGCAATATTCCAGTACTGTTATATTAATCTGTAGAATGCCAGATAAATCATTTTATTTATTAATTTATTCAGTGCATTTGTGACTATCCTCAGGTAAGGAGTTCCCAAAGTTGCTTAAAAAATCAACTGCAATCTGTGCCCTCAAATGCACAGTCCAGAAAGCCACAAGAAACAAGAAAAGCCGCTGGACTGGAGGGGCTCCACTTCATCACTGCTGGCATTTGGAAGCAGGTCCTGACATCCCTTTTGCCACCATTGGCTAGAGAGCTGCATGTGGACAAGCAGGCTGCCCCGATGAGGGCAAGTGACTGCAGGGGTTCTTGGTGCTGGAGTGCAGTCCCTTTTCAGATGCCTGTACATGCCTTCCCTTACCCTAGCCCAAGTGTACACCCCTCCTTAAGTAATGAGGATTCCAGGCAGCCTCCTGTCCAGGTATTGATCAAACACAGACTTGATTTGCTCCAAAATTATTGCAGCATCCTATGCCTTCAGCCCATGAATTGAGCCTGCTTCCTAAGGGGCTTGCTAAGTGTAATTAAGGAACACTTTGCCTTGGAACTGAAAACTGATTCTAAGACTCAGCTGTGGAGATGTGTTCTTCTCATGTTTCTTCTTTTTATGAACTCTGTATTTCACTTCACTTCACTGGATTGCTCACTGCAGGAATCATTTGATATTGCATATTGTTTACTGCCCTTCAAAACCCTTGTGTGCACCTTGACCTAAATCACTGCATCTCTGCTCTTCAGCTGAATAAATATTTCCCTTGACCTCACAATAATACATCTTTAGCTCTTTCATGTCTCCAATTCCTGCCCTCTCACTCGCTCTGGTCAACTCGTCCATGTTTTCATCTCTGTTTGGAATTAACTTTGGATCCCCACCCCCAACCCTTTCCTTTGTCGGCTTGTTGCACAGTTTCTGTGTATAGTGTGTGTGCACTTACTTGATTCTGTATATAACCATACAAATCTGTCCCCAGGAATCATTGGAGGAAACTATTGCATCTCAATGAAATTCAACATATAATGAATTTATGGATTCCATTACAACCAACTGTGGCCTTCAAGAGGACTGGTCACATGCATGGATGACAGATCAGTCGGTGGCTATGAGTTGGGTTCAAAGATAGCTTCTTCTTGTAACTCTGTGCACTTTAGTTACCCATAGGATGCTTGGAACACAGTTCCCCTTTCTTTGGGCCTTGCAAGTTGCTAGAGAAGTCTGGCTGAAAGGACTGAGAGATAGATGGAGGGGAATTCAGGCAGAATAGAAAATTGGAGAAAAAGCAGAGAAGGAGAAGGATCCAATGAGGAGACTATGGAGAAAAGAACAGTGGCCACCTTCAGTCATTACAGCATCGACCTGGGGTCTGATTCAGGCTCAGAAATGTCGATCACTGAGCTGCAGTTACCACAGGTATCCCCATTTAACTCCATTCCTACTTATTCTGGTATTCAGAGACATTTTTAAATGATATACCCATCTGAGATGTTCCCAACTATTTCTTCCACACCTTAATCTCAGTCATAAATAAATCCTAGTTATTGTTTGTTTCCCGGGCTAATAAAGTTGCCTGCTTCTTGTTTCTCCTGCTTCCCTGTTATAACATATGAGGCCTCGTGAGCTGGAGATAGTGCACAGTATTTTGGGGTCCTGGAATTCTTCTGTTCCGTTCAAGCTCTCCCATGAATATTTCAACCCAGGTCCTATTATTTCCCTTCAGCACTAAGAATTTTTGGTTGGCACTGGGGAGGTACAACCTGAATAACAGTTAAGGAGCGGTGATGGCAGGCTGGAGGCACATATATTAGATAGATTATGGCACAATCTAGCCCCAGCATGCATGAGTGTGCAGACATCTACATGACAATTAAAAAACACAGTGGTGCAGGGTGCTGAACCCTGATCATGCCTTGTCATCAGGACATGGAAATGCCTGGGGCCTTGAGTTATACATTGTCTTCACACCAATTTTAACATGATTTCTATTTAAAACTCAGTTGCTGTTGCACTCAAATTTTTGAGAGCTGAGCCAATCTTGCTGGGCTCCAAAGACTTGGACCAGAATGAGTTGTGTATGTATATAGAAGCAACAGCAGGAATACCAAAAGAAGGTCCAGACAGTTCCCAACTTAGAGACAACTATACATAGAAAACTCCCAAGTTATGAACAACCTGTACTTAAGAACGAACTGCCATAAAGCTTATTAATTAAAAAAACTACAGGAAATCATCATCATCATAGAGGGAGAGGAAGCAAAAGGAAAGAAAGACCCCACCCATCCAGAGAGGGGAATTTCTCCAGCATTTCCCTGCTGCAAAGAAGGGGTACTGATGAATGTGGGTAGAGATATTCATTTTTTTCCACTTTCCCAGGGGTCCTGCAAATGTGGACAGCAAGTGCACATGATCCAACTTACATACATACAAATTCATACATACATTATCCAACTTACATACATACAAATGCAAACTTATATACATACAAATTCGACTTAAAAACTAATTTCAATTTCCTAAAGAATGGAACTCAGTCATAACCCAGGGACTGCCTTTTTTATGAAAGTACTCCATTGACTGTAATCCTTCCACTTGTCCAGGTGGTGAGTCTAAGGGTCTGGCCAATGCATCACCTTAAATCATGGGAGGGGCAGCCTTGCATCATTGTAGGTTCTGCTTTTTTTCCCCATTGAGGCTCTACTGTGGTCATAAAAATGAATAAGCAGGCAAATAAAACATTGTTTCTCATGCAGGGATAAGGATGGAGTTTGTTGAGTTCATATTTTCTGAACTTTGCAATGCAGTTTGCAAATAAAATGTGTCAAAATATCTATATAATATTGGAAATGATTACTAATTCATATCATAGGAAAATGTATGTACAGAAATGCATTATATTGGGAAAGTTCCTTGCAACAGGAGTAAATTTGGCAAAGTGTCTAGAAATAGTGCATTAGAGTAAATGTACATCAAAAATATGCAGACTTTTTAAGTCACAAACTGCTTCAGAAAGGAGGTGGAACAAATATAATCTTGGAAAAATGAAAAACTGAGCAGAATCAAATGTGACAGCTTTGTTCATTCCTACTCTAATCTGCTAGATACAAGGATGCCATCTTCCATTTCATGACCATAGGATGTGGTGAAATTCTTGGCATGACTTTAGTGCAAGATTATGTCATGTTATGTTGCTGGGACATGTTAGCAATAAATCAAATGCACCCTTTACTTCACAGATAAATAGGTAAGATTATCCTCTACAATCCTCTGTGTGTGTTTTTGTGCGCATGCGTATGTGCACATGCTACCTGTACCTTTTGGCTGCTGCACAATGATTGTACTCAGGTGCCCTATTTCTTGTTTGTTGCAGTTTGCCCAGGGAACAGAAGCTTGCTGTACTTTTCATTGCTTGATTCTTTTGTGTATTAAAAGGACAATCTTCCCCTCTCTGACACATGTATTGTCTGGCAGAACAAAAGATCTACAATAGCAGACCAGCCGCAGT